GCTTAAGGAAACCAGCCTTGAAGAGTTCTCCGTTTCTCATCTCGAAGGTTGCAGCTCGCTTTTTCAGGATGGCCGTCTCCCGGGTTGAATCCGGAAGCGTTCCATCAGTAAGGTAAGCCCGGATGCCATCCATCCAGGTGGAACTTCGGTCAAGAATTCCAATGGGCTCTTCATGTATACTTCTTTTTTCTAGAACTTCCCAAAAGACTGACCGAGGTGTGTCGCAGCAGGCGGAGGAGGCTAACTTGGACAATGCATCCCCCTGATTGTTGTCTGACCTAGGAACTTGACTCAAGTGGAATTCTTCAAGTGTCCCAGCCTCTTCTTTGACGACCTGAAGATATTTGATCATAGCCGGATGATTTGCCTCAAAGATGCCCTCATACTGGCTAACAACCAATTGCGAATCAGAGTAGGCGTCAATTTTCGTTGCCCTAGCCGCCTTAAACATACGGATGCCGGCTAGTAGGGCCTCATACTCCGCCTCATTATTTGAGGCCTGAAACTTAAATCGTAGTGCATACTCAAATTTATCTCCTTCAGGAGACTCATAGATGACGCCTGCACCATATCCATTTTTTGTAGAGCTCCCGTCTACATACACTTTCCAAACCTGACTGGGATTATCCGGGGGAACCGGACGTGTAATTTCAACAATGAAGTCGACGAACGCCTGACCCTTCACTGCCTTCCGTGGTTCGTAAGTGATTTCAAGACTTTGCATTTCAATAGCCCATTTTAACATTCTACCGGATGACTCCAAGGTAGACATTGGCCGCTTGAGAGGTTGGTCTATATATATAACAACCGGATGTGCCAAGAAGTAGGGTTTCAACTTCTTGGATGCCATATAAAGAGCAAGGCCAAATTTTTCGACCATTAGGTACCGGAGCTCAGCATTCCGAAGAACATGGCTAACGAAATAGACAGGGAGCTGGATGCCGTCTCTTTCAGCAAGGAGAACGACGCTGAGGGCATGATCAGAGACAGCTAGATACATGAATAACATCTCTTTGGGCAGAGGGCTGACTAGCCTTGGCAAAGAGTGCAAGTGTTCTTTTAATTTCTGGAAGGCCGCCTCAGCATCATCCCCCTATTCAAACCTAGTCTTCTTCCTGATTGCTTGGAAGAAGTAAAGGCATTTGTCACCTGACCGGCTGAGAAATCTTCCCAGGGCCGCCAGGCAACAAGTTAACTTCTGAACCTCTTTAACAGTGCAGGGTGGCTTCATGTCGATTACCGCCTGTATCTTCTCGGGGTTAGCTTCTATTCCCCTTTGATCAATTAAAAATCCGAGAAACTTCCCAGACTCAACACCAAAAACACATTTCTTAGGATTTAACATAACCCTATGCTGCCTGAGTGTGGTGAAGGTTTCTCGGAGATCAGCAAGGTGATTCGCCTGAAGCTTTGATTTGACTATCATATCATCAATGTACGCCTCTACATTCCTTCCAATTTGATTTATGAAAACCGTGTTTATCATTCGTTGGAAAGTAGCAGGCGCATTTTTTAAACCAAACGACATCACCGTATAACAGAACAACCCCTGATCAGTGACGAAGGCCGTCTTCTCTTGATCTTTCTTCCATAAGGGGATCTAGTGGAAACCTGAGTAGGCATCCATGAAACTCATCAAGGCATGGCCGGCTGTAGAGTTAACAAGGCTGTCGATTTTTGGAAGAGGGCAGCTGTCCTTTGGACATGCCTTGTTGAGATTCGTATAGTCAACACACATGCGCCAGGTACCATTCGGCTTCTTCACAAGCACAACATTCGCAACCCAATCAGGGAAGTTACATGGCCGAATGAACCCAGCGTCTAACAATTTTTTGACTTCGGCGCCTGCCTCCTGACTTCTTTCTTCACCTTGGTTTCTTTTCTTCTGCCGGATGGGCTTTCTCTTTGGATCTACGGCGAGCTTGTGGACAACGAGATCTAGGCTGACGCCTGGCATCTCTTCCACTTTAAAGGAAAAGATGTCTTTGAATTCTTTCAACAGAAGGTGTAAGTCTACACCTAGCTTAGCATAAGCAGCCGTCCCAACCTTTACAGTTCGATCCGGACGACTGTCGTCCAGAGCGAGATCAATATGCTCACCAGCCGACTGCGGACGGAGCTCATCTAATCGCTCTCCGGTAAGTGATTTCTATTTCTTTTCTTTCTTCACCTTCACCAGCTGAGCAACTTTTCTTTTCTTTCTGGCTGCTGGTGGGGCTTGGCTGGTATCCTTGACATCGTCAAGGTCTATTGGTTCTTTCCCTTGACCATCTGGGGCCACTGTATCCTTGACAGCCGAGAGATAGCACTCTCGGGCCGTCTTCTGATCTCCGTTCAAAGAACCAACAGAGCCATCATCCTTTTCATAATTGACCAGCATGAGTGAAGGGATGATTACCGCCTTGGCTTCGTTGAGGGTGGGCCGACCTAAAATAATGTTATAGGCGGTCAACTCTTCAACGACCAAGAACTTGATGACCAGATGTCGTCCTTCTCCTTTTTCTCCCAGCCGGATGGGTAGGTCAATTCGACCGGCTGGATACACCATTCAACCCCCAAAACCAACCAGGGGTTGGGATACCGGGTGCATGCTGCTGGGCTTGTACTTCAGCTTTTGCAAGCACTTGTAACTGATGATATCTGAGGAGCTGCCGGCGTCTATAAGTATTTGTCCAACCAGCTGGTGGGCGACTTTACACTTAATGACGACCAGATCGTCGTGCGGGCGGCGGACCCTGCCCCTATCCTTCTCTGTAATTAGGACATCAGGGAAGGTGCTGCTAGCAGACGCCTGCTCCTCATCAACAACCGAGTCCATCTGCCTCAGATGGCTCTTGGTGCCCCGAATGGCAGGGCCTCCACAGGAGAATCCTCCTGCTATGGTGTAGACCGGATCTTTATCAGTGTCCGTGCTACTAGTAGGCTGGACGGTCTTTGACGACTGTCTTGGATTCTTCCCCTTGGACTTGGAGATGTAAGACTTCAACATCCCCTTGTCTTCTAGACGATCCAACGCCCTTTGAAGACAAAAGCATTCATTTGTATCGTGGCCAACTTCTTCGTGAAATTGGCAAAATTTGTTCTTGTTCCGCTTCTGGAGGGAACTCTTCATAGGATTCGGCTTCTCAAGGGTTAGCCGATCCTTAATCTCCATAAAAATGGAGTTGCAATCCTTGGTAAACTCGTACTTGGGGACGTACGGCTTAAATTCCTTCTTTTTCCTCCGGGACGGTTGATCAGAGTCATCCACTGCCCAGACTTCCTTTCTCTTCTTGTTCTCTTCCTTCTTTTTGTCGGCTGGTTAGGATGGCTGTCTTTTGGTTTGTCAGACTTCTTAGAGTCCGACTGATTGCCAGACGAGCAGAGGTCGGTCGCCTGTATAAAGATTTTGGCCTCCCTCAATGCTGCCTGTAGGGTGAATGCCCTTGTCCCGACCAGGTTGAACTTAAACGTTGACCCGTCTTTGAGACCTTTGAAAAAGTCTTTGAATGCTACATCGTCAGACAACCCCTGGATTTGAATCCGGGTCAGGTTGAACCGCCTGACGTACGAGCGAAGGCCCTCCTTCTCACCCTGTTAATGGTGCTCAAGTCAAGACTTGTTTTCTTTGCAGGGATGTTCATTGAGAAGTTGGAAGCGAACAAGAAGGCTAGCTTCCTGAAACTATCAATGGATCTGGCTGGCGGATTGCCAAACCATTGCTGGGCAATGCCCTTCAATGTGGCCGGGAAACAACGGCACCAAGTGGCATCGTCCAACCCCTGCAAATACATGAGGTTGGTGTAAGCCATGAGGTGGTCTTTTGGGTTGGCAGTACCATCATAAGTACCCACCAACACATTCTTAACCTTAGCAGGTGGAACCGCCTCGGTTATCTCCCTAGTGAACGCAGAAGGTTGTTCACCAAGTCTAAGCAGATGGAGCTGCCAGTCCTGAGGTTGGACGTATTCCGTGTGACCTCCAAAGGGGGCCGACTGCATGAACTGAAGGTCATACTGACCATACTGCGCCCGAGACGCATGCGAGGCGCGTCCGATCAGTTGGGGACCTAGCCGAGCGGACTTGCCACCGGTTCCACTCTCATGTAAGGACAGAGAGTTCCTTACAAAGGTTTCTTTGAAGCTGTCTGGAAAGTTCGAGGTTGAGGCTGACTCAGACAGCTGCTGATCTCTTCTTCGCTTGATGATGTGCCGAGCGTCGTGAGTTGATTTTTTACTGGTTTCTGGCTGATCATGCCGGACGTTCCTCTGAGGCCCAGTGGGTAGGAGGATCTTAGTCTAGTCAAGTTGTGTGGCTGCCTTCTCCTTTGTATGGGGAATTGGCTGCCTATCCTTGACTGACTTCTTCTTCGCAGGGGGAGAAGCCTTTCTAGCCGGTTGGCTCTTGCCAGAACCAACCTTGTTCTTGCTGATCATTTCTTTGATTTCACCCTTAAAGGAGTTCATGAACTTCATGAGATCCTCCCGAGTGACTAGGGTGTCTCCCCTGCTTTTAGGGGCTTTCCCTCCTGACCTTCCAGGGGGCCTTTTGCTTAGACCCGCCTGGTCGGTGTTCCGTTCCAGCTGGTCTCTAGAACGTCTGTACTTGGAGATGAAGGAGCCGTCCTTGGCTACATATGTCTCCACATCATCATCATCATCAGTTTCATCCTCAGTGACGACCTCTGGCTGAGGCCGGCTTGGTTGAGGCCGGCTGATTGGCTGGGGAATACCAGAGCTTCCCGGTTGGGGATTTTCCTGAGTTACTGGTTGGATGACCGGTGGTGAATTGATGGGATCAGGTTGTGGTACTGACTCTTGAACCATCTTGAGGTACTCTCCCCACATACGGCGCCAAATGTTTTGGGTGCTTTTAGTCCCTCGGGAGAGTTACAGCTCAAAGATTGGTCCGGTGCGGCCTGTACCTGCAATATAACGGAGACTCCTGTTGGTTGGAGTTCCGCCTCCGACGATCAAGTTAGAATGTGTAGGAGTGAGTAAAAAGTGCGGAAAAAGATAAAGATGAGATCTTTACAGATCCCGAGATCAGGTGCTTTCTCTGATGTGAGAGAAATTCAGGTGATGTAATAAAATGATTCCAAAAATCCTCCCCATAATGGGGAATCTCTCCTTATTTATAGGGTCATGGAAAAATGTGTCCTTATTTTAGGTCATGTGACCTAGATTTGGTGGGCTATGACAAGTTATGGGGAATTGGGCCTGAAAGCCGCCATTCCATGACATGATAGTGGGGTCCACGTGTTAGTATTTGGTTGGTCTTGTTTAGACCAATGCTGGGCGGACAAGTGTCCTAATGCTGGGCGGACACGTGTCTTGTTCTCAGGCCGCCACGTGGCAGGGTAATTTTACCCAAAACAGGAATATTTCAAGCATTACCCCAAACTTGAACACCACTTTGATCATACACTTAAGCATGGTGGCGTCCAAAGGGAAGGAAGCTAGAGCAAAAGAGTCGCCCACAAGTTTTAGGAACTTGTAAACCGTTCACAGGGTGAAGGTTACACCCCTTAACAATCCACGAGATCGTTAACTCCAATAGGTCTGGAACCATGACTGAAAGTTCGGGGATGAAGGAACAAATCCAACCTAAAAGAGATTGAACCTGCCCTAATAATAGGCCTCTACTTTATTCTTCTCGTATTCATGTGCGCTTTCTGACTAACATGCAATCAATAGGTTAACCCTAAACCTGTTTAATCTATGTTGGTTGAATATTAATGCACAAATAAAGCTATTATTGGTAATCACTTGAATTATAATCAAATTAACCCTAAACAAGATTATTAATTAACTTATTAAGCGTGATTACAAGTACAAATTCCCTTTAAATATGCATAAAAGGTGTGATCAAGCAATAACAATAAACATCAAGCAACATCATAAATCATAATAAATCATAAATTATAACAATCATAATCATTATTAAAATAATCATATCAATGCTAAAGCATAATAATAGCAAGATCCTTGGCATGATACTAACAGGATTAATAACAAAACCTAGCATGTCGCTGGACAATAAAAATCAAATCTTTAGCCCTAACATGATACTAACATGCTATTAGGAAAGAAAATAAAAGGCATCATAGAAATCGTAATTGATATATGCAAATCACACTAAATATCATACTAAGGAAAGCATCCTAACATGATAATAGGAAAAACATCCTAAACATGATACTAGGAATCAAAATAACAACCTAAACATGATTCTATATCATAATATCAATAAAACAATTAAAGCACTTACTTGGATGCCTCGTACCTCTTTCTAATAACAAAATACACACGTTATTAACTTCAAGGAAAATATAAAATCAAACAATTAAATTAAATAATTGAAATAGAAATTTGGGAAAAAACCCTCAAAAATCAAACCTTTCACGTCTAGGGCGAAGGCTACTTCGAATTTGGCTAGGTGGGTCTAGATCTTGTAAATGCGGAATTTTGTTTGTGAGAAGGTTAGTTTAGAAAAGAGAGAGAGAGAGAGTATCAAGAATTTCTTGATGAGAGTTGATGATTAAAAACGGAGGTTTAAGAAGGCTATTTATAACGAAAATCAGCCGAAATATGATAAAAAAGAATCAGAGTTTTGAGAAGAATAAAACACGACGCTGTCGCCACACATGCCTCTCCCGCCGAGCGTCAGCTTGTAGTGCATCGCTGCAGACAGGTTTTTCACACGTTTTCATATTTTGATAAAATTTAAGCTATAAAGGGTAAAACTGTAATTTCCTTTAAAACACTTCTTTTATTCTAAAGAAGACTCTTAAAACTCAATTATCAATGCTAATCACATTATGATTCAAAAGAACCTTCTAGAAGATTATAGAAGACTATAATCAATCCTAATTTCATTAGGAATGATAAATCATAATAGGCCCTCTTCTAGATCATTGGGCTGCATATAAAGATCAAACCGGGCCCAGTTTAGTTATTTGGCCATAACTTCCTCGTTATTCATCGGAATTGGGCTTATAATATATCGTTGGAAAGCTCTTTTCGAGCCCAATCCAAATACACTATTATTGGACCCTTGACATGGACCAAACTAAACTGTATTGACTATTTTCATGAAATAGGCATTCGAAAACAGAGAGAAAAAAAGAATTAAAAACTAACCGCAACACTAGACTTTTCACACTTTCACTTCATTCAATTATGGTTCGACGTGAAAGGTATTCATCACCGGGTTTGGTTTTGGAGAGACATAAATGGGTGTCTACAGAAGCCCCCACTTTGACTGAGTTTAGAGAAATGTAAGTTTCGAAAACAAAAGTCAAAGTGTCGATAGGGACTGAGAATGATTCATAAAATTCTGCAATCCTAAATCACTCTTGCAACGCCGATACCTACAAACTAGCGTTAGTAAAACAGATAAGAGAGTTAAGAAACGCGTATCTTGCACCGTCAAGCACACATCTCTAGAGGTAATCGATTTGTTGCTGCATTTGCTGTTGACAACCTTTCACAAGATAGGGAACACCATCCCGTTGTTTTGATGTTGATATGTCCACGTGTCTCTGAACAAAGAGCTTTGAATGATATGCCCACGCGTCAATAAGCAAAGAGCTTTGAATGATATGCCCACGCGTCTCTAAGCAAAGAGCTTCTTTTGTTTGACGATCTAGGGGATACCGCCTGAAGAATGCTACGCCCGTAACTGCCTCCAATTCTGCTGTGATAGTCTTCTACAAGCTAGAGAACCCTATCAAATATTGCTTCGCCTGAAACGATCTTCTAGCGCTTTGTGACCATCTTCCGCAAGCCAGGGAACATGATCGAAGATTGCTTTGCCTGAAGCTATCCTCATTTGTTGCGATAATACTCTAAAGAGTATCACCGAAGACTAACGCCCGTCGATCCTTTAAAGTTTGCTCGAACTTTGCTTTTGCTATGCCAGTGCGTCGGCGCTTTTGCTTCTTGTGAACCAGTATGTCGGTGCCTTTGCGATGAGCCAATGTTTAGGCGCTTTAAGCTAAGTGAGACGAATATTTATCAGGTCGATCTCTTAATGTTATTGTAACCGAGTCGATTACTAAATCATGTCAAGTTGCTTAGAGGGGCTAACTAGCGTACCAAGGAACCCGAAATTGTTGTACGAGGTCGAAATCATCATTATGAGAGGCTTAGCGTTCTGTCCCTGCTGCAACGCCACTGGCGCCGCGATTTTTCCCTATCGTCCGGCGCTGCACTCTTTCGCTCGGCGACAGAGTTGATGTGCGATGCTGTAGTCGGGATTTATGCATAAATCCCCTTCTTCCCTCATTTCGCTGCTACTGCTCTTATTTTGTTCGAGTTCCGCCACGAAACTTCGAATTGCCTATTTTCGCTTGTTTCCTAACCAAATTCGCTCAAATTTGTTGCAAATCAAAGCTTTGTTCATCTAGTTTGCTGATCTATGTAAGTTTTTTCCAAACTCACTCGATTTTTGATGAATTTTGCGCATGTTTATTCACGAATTTCTCGAAAATTCGAAACTCATATTGCTCAATTTGATTTGTTTGTCAAAATTTATGCCATGAAATTGCTTGATTATGTTTATATATTGCCTTGGGAGTATTTTGAGACTTGTTTGACTCAATTTGGTGAAGAAACGAACGATTCACCATCGTTGAACCTCTTAAGGTCGGGAAAACAATGTGGCTCGTTATTGATGTTTTTGCTAGCAACTCTTGTTCAATTTTTCACAATAATTATCATAATATTGCAAGAAATTGTTTGGTTGATTGAAAAAATGCCATATATGCTTGAATTGAAATTTTACCATGTTTTAGTACTACGTACTCTGTTTTTTTTGCGAACATAGTATCATGCGGCTAGGCGAACCTTAGATACTATAGAACCTTAATTTTTGTCAATTTTACACAATGTATTATGGCTAGACGGCGAGGATCCGGTTCCCGGTCTCGAGACACACGACGGGAGCATGAGCCCGTTTAGGAGGACGCCGACCCGTCCACTTCTCTCGGTCCCTTCCCTGAGTGGGACGAGTGGACAATGTTCTTTGCCCCCGAGCACCATATTTTTGAGAGGGTGCATCGTGGGATCGTTAGTGGCATGACACGCAGCCATGGCTTGGGCAATGACACCCTGGGGAAGCTGTACGGCAAGTATTTTCAGCGACGATGAGGGGCTGCGCCTTATTTAGGAGTCTTGTGGGCTGACTGCTCTGTTCCGGGCTACACATGCCATGTACTCATTTGACGCGAGCCACCACGTGGTTCGCGCTTTGGTGGAGTTCTTTTGGGACACCACCAACACTTTTCAATTTCCTTGGGGTGAGATGACTGTCACCCCAGCCGACTTCAGTCTTATCTCGGGACTGGAGTTTCGTTCGACAACTCCATCAGTGTTTTTTCTCCTGTGGTCGACAAGCTGTTCGGATCGATTGCTGTTCGGTCCCACGCTGAGGTGGAGTCATCACGATTCAGCTCCAAGTGCATTCGCCGGTCTACTCTGGCGATGGCTTTTGAGGACGATGCGACCACCCGAGAGCAGCGGGTGCGCATCTTTGCACTTATTTTGCTGTCAGGGACCTTTTCCCCTGACAAGGGTAGTCGGGTGCTGCTTTACTACCTTCCTGCTGTCCGCGATCTTCAGCTGATCGGGACCTACGATTGGGCCAGCTTGGCCTATGCCGACTTTTTGCGAGGATTGCGCGACTCCTGTCGACATCAGTCTTACACGGGAGACATCGCTCTCTCTAGCTTTTGGAGAGTCGTAGAGGTATACTTTATCTCTTAAAAGTTAGCTCTAAAATCTTATTAGCATATGCTGATTTCTTTTTATCTTCGTAGATCTGGTTCTACGATTACTTTCCTTCGCTTGCGCCGGTGAGATCATCTCCACTCGAGTACCCTATTGGCGCCTGTTAGGGAGGTCGCTGTAGTAACCAGGCGACTACTGCTCGTGTCCGAGAGCTGATCCTCTCGGTATATTCTTTTTGCATAGTTGACATATTTGTATCGCTTTTGGTAGAAACTTTATCTTATAGGCATTCTTTGTAGGAGCCTAATGTATTATACCGGCCATGGGGCGGTCTGGTTATTCCTGCGCTGGCTGCGCAATACACCACTGAGCGTCGCTACTTCCAGGGGACGTATGAGGCGGCGGTGTACTTAGGAGAGAGAGTTGCTATTCAACATTCCTTAGAGATTTTCGTCGTCCTTGCTCTTCCGCCACGCCACATGTTCCATGACGCGATGTTGCTCAACTTATCGGAGAGATCGCTTGCTGGTACCCATTAGCGACCTCATGCTAGCTCCGGCCCCTGTTTTGTCTGAGGAGGCGGCGGTTTGATTTTTTTCTTTTATCTTTTTGCTAAGTAGTCCCCGGGTGGTATTTTAAAAACTTTGGTTTGCTTTCTTCCAGACCGAGCCTACTGAGTTCGTTCCCCCTCGTATGTCCATCCACTATTGATGAGTGACAATTATGTCACTCCTAGGGGTAGTGTTTAGGTTATTTTCATGCTTGTTTTCTCGTATTTTTCTCTTTTATTCTCTTGTTTTCTCTTTAATAATGTTTCTTGTTTATTTCGTTATTTTGGCATGTTTTAGTTCTTTTCTTGATTTTATTAGTTTTAAGTTTATTTTCTTATTTTATTTTATTTTATTTGCTTGTATAGTTTTATTTAATTTTGCTAGTTTTAGTTTATTCCTCTTATTTTCTATTTTATTTTATTTATCCCGATTCCTTCCTTCGGTTTTGTGTGTAGGGGTTCGGGTTTTATGTCAAGTGAATTCGGGTTCCAATTTGAGTTAAACGCCAAATGCCCATTTCACAAGCGTGCTGCCAACTTACCTCCCACCATCTCCTATCCTACACCACACATTCCCTCTCTATTTCCCCTTATCCTACACCACATTAAAACAACCTCCCCTGCTTCAACTCTTCTTCACCTTTGCTGCACCAATCTCCACCATCAACCAAAAATTCCCCTGCTCCATCGTCACTTCCATCACCACCGGCACCCACAAACCGCACACAACAACCCACCAAAACCAATCAACATCCCCTGCTCCATCTCTACCCAATCCACGCACCTGACCACCCGCATCCCAACCCACAATAAGCCACAAACCGTACCGCACACCCCTCGCTGCTGCCACCATACTAACCGCAATAGCTACACCAGCATAGCAGCCGCACCAGCCACTGCTGCTGCCTCCAATCGCCACCAATAACCCCTCACTTCCAATCTCCAACAAAACCGACAATCACCACCGCACATCCCGTAACTTTAGCTAAGCAGTCCACCGCAATTACTCACCCCGATTCCACTATTTCCGCCCAAAATTCAGAGCAATTAAATTTCAATTGAGTTCGGGCAAACTATTGAAGAGTTCGGTCGAAGTATAAGTGCAAAAACGGTCAAAATCGTTCGAAGTTTTCTCATTTGAAGAGATGTGGTCGAACACACCCATGGTTCGATCGGACTAGACCATAGTTCAGTCGAACCCACCCTCGGTTCGATCGAACCACTCCATGAGCTTCACACATGGTTTTTAATGAAGATCGAACGGTCTTGATTGATGCTCAATGATAGGCGATAATGATGAGCGGTGGTGATTCGATGATGATGGTTGTGGGTTTAATTTGGTGAGGCGCAAAGTAGGGGATCATCCCCCAATTTAGGGAAGCTAAATTTTGAAGAAGAGGGGAAAGAGGTCTGATGTGTTTTGTGGGATTTTGGGTTTATTTTTCCATTTTATTTTATTTTTATTTATTTTCCTTTCCCTTTTCTTATTTCTTTCTTTAAGTTTTATTTTCTTTCTTTATTTCCCTTTTTACTTATTTCCTTCTTTTATTTTTCTAGATTTCCTAGCTTAGTATAAATACCCATTTTTAGGGTAATTAGTATTCAACAATTAATAATTATTCTATTCTCTAATTAGTTTTTTAGGAGAGCTTCTCTCTCTAGGTTTAGCTTAGGATTAGAGTAGTTTAGAGAGAGAAAGTGAGGGTTTCACCATTGTTGAGCTTGGATATTGAAGAGGAAGATTGATCATCTTGCTTGTAGATTTTCACATTCAATCAATGAGAATCTGTAACTCTCTCTCCTCTATTTTATTTGCCTTCTTTTGATTATTTTTTTTGTTGTTGGTATTGCTTGTTAATCATGTTGATTCTTGATTATTTGTTGATTAATCTTGTTGTTATCATGATTAGTGAGTAATTCCCCCATTAAGGGGATGGTTGTGGTGTAGTTGGATCTTGAGCATGCTATAGGGTTTGGAATTGATTTATTTGTGATTAAAGTCTATATTTTCTTGATATTCTTTGATCTTCTTGTAAGTGCACATTGTTGGTTGATTAAAGATGAATCTTTGCTAACAAGAAACGGAAGTTGACTTAGTTAGGGTTCATTATTATCGATTGTTCTTTGATTTCACCTCCCAATATATGGTTCTAATGTGGAAGCATAGAGGCTATGTTAGGAGAAGCCAATTAACCCCAGAAAGTGGCTAGATTGGACCTTACTTCGATATTTGAGCATGTTTAGTTCATAATTAATTCAACTTCTATGCCTTTGTTATGCTTGAGTGATTGCTACTCCTAGACCCTTTCCCTTAATGTTTTAGTTTGTTTAGACCCTTAGTTTACCTTCCCTTATTCCGAACTAGCTTAGTTGTTGAGCATTAGGTAGTGTATTTCTGTTCCCTGTGGTTCGACCCCTATGCTTGCCTTATACTTGTATTAGGTTAGTTTAGGTTGTATAAATTGTATTTGATCTAGGGATAGACATTTGACGACGCGTTTATTCCCTTGTCAACTATCAGGAGACATATGGGCCTATTGAGGAGATGATCCCTCCGGCTCGCGAGGATCAGCGTTTTGTTGAGCGATTTATCCCTTGTCACCAGACTCGGGTGAGTTATTTAATTGCTATTTGTTTATATCTGTCTTGTATTGTTACTGACTTTATTTCTTTGACAGTTCTCGCGCGAGGTGGTTACGTTGATGGCGAGGTGCATAGACGCCTTTCGGAGCCAGCTAGTGCGGATGAGGAACGTGGCTTCCTGTCGTCGCGATCACACTGTTCGGGAGGTAGCTTTTCCTCTTTATTTCTGCATTGTTTATATTTCTATTTTCTTTGCATCTAACTTGATTTCTTTTTGCAGGGACACCCTATTCCTTCCCGTACTTGGACGAGACCTGAGGTTCTGAGAGACTCGGCTAGGTCTAGCTCGAGGCATCGCCGCACTACTTCTGGTGGTCGGGGTGGCCGATCTGATGTTTCTCGGACCGAGGCGGTGGAGGGCTCGGGCTCTTCATCTGAGAGTGCACAGGTTGGGCCGATGGGCCAGGAAGAAGCGACTTTAGCTCCAAGAGGTGGTGGGATGTACGAAGTCGGCTCGTTGTCGCATCAACCTCCGCAGCCTCAGCCTTTGCTGATTCATCACCAGGGCGACCTTGGGTGGACTGGTCCTGAGTTGAGTTTCCCTCCTCCTGTGGAGACTAGAGCTGGTGGGGAGCATACTCCTCGATCTGCGCAGTTCTTTGATATGATGAACATTCTTCATCATCTGGGTCCTCCAACGCCGTAGTTGTACCTATGTTTATTTATTTTGACTTTTGTGGGACTTTGCCCGAATAACTTGTTTGTTATCTACATTTGTTAGACATATTTTGTATATAGAGACTATTATCTATTATGACTGTATTATCTTTGCATTTATTTTTCATTTTTATGTGCATATGTGTGTGTTTAAAAATTGTGATTAATTTTGCGCAAAAATTTCCGTCATTTTTATTACTGATGGAGGGTATCCGACTTTCTCCCCCAAAGAGAAAAAATGAAAAATAAATTAGACTTAAAACAAACCTAAATTTAATTAAGTTTGAATAAATCCAAGAAGAAAATAGAAGGGAAATATATTAAATTAATATATGTGGGATATTTGAACAAAGGGCAAAATTGTAAAGTCACTGTACGAATTCGAATCATAGCCAGAAAAATGCGGTTTGCATAGCACGTTGAGGAAGCGCTGCAGAGCTGCGTGTCGTCACGTTATTAGCGCTGTCCCCAAGCGCTGCTGCTGTCGCCTGGCGACAGGCGTGTCGTTCGGCGCTGTAGTGCGCTGATTTCGAGTCCTTTCCGGAGTCAAATTGCATCGATTTTGTAAATAAATAGCCTCCTAATCTGCCGATTTTCTTTATAATTCGAACAAATTAATTATAATCTTAGTTTCTCAACAAATAATCATGTCTTTAGTTACTAAGAGTTTTAGCAATTTCACTCGTGAATGGTGTCAATCTTTAACTGCTAAAGAGAGAAAAAAACTCTACTTTTTTTTCACATGGGAGGTATTTATGGTGTTAAGGGGGTAGATTTTGATATAGATTTTATTCATACCGCCTTAGAATATTGGGACACATATACACATTGCTTTAGACTAGGGTGTGATGAAATTAACCCTTTACCGGAAGAATGTGGTGCCATCTTAGGCTTCCCTTCATTAGATCTTGCGGCAATCCCTAGAATAAATGAATATTATTATAAAGATTTTGAGCGCTTCTTTAATTTAAGAGATAGAGATCTAACAAATATTGTAGATGGTAGTATAGTCAATCTAAAAGAATTTGCACGCCACTACTTTGATAGACCTTATTCTGAATATTTTCACGTTTATAGAAGAAGGGCTTTTCTCTTTTGCATGCTTAACCAATATCTTCTCACTAGTGGTGTTTTGGGTGTTTTTGTCCCTCGGGAGAGTTACAACACGAAGACTGATCCGGCGTGAGCTGTACCTGCAAAACAAACGGAGACACCGGTTGGGTGGTGCTCCGCCTCCGACGAACAAGTTAGTAACTTGAAGGGAGAGAAAAAGGTGCAGAAATTTAGGTGGGTATCTGCTCGGATTCCAAGATCAGATGTTTCTATCACAGGGACAGTTTGTAATAAATGGTGAAAACGTGCCCTCCAAAAGAGGGGAATCTCCCTATTTATAGGGTCCTCGGGATTTGTGCCCCTGATTCGGTCACTGAACCCTAATCATTGGTGGGCTGCGCCGCATTGCGGCTTTCTCGAAATTTGGGCCTGAAGGCCGCCATTCCTCCCAGGTTTCTGGAGTGACACGTGTCAAGCAAGGATAGGTCCACCTTGGGCCATCCTGGGGCTGACACGTGTCATCCTCTGATTGGACCACATGGCGGGGTAAAATTACCCTAAACATTTTCCCCTCATAGATGTGATGTGGCATGCCATGTGGCATTTGTGACACGCGTCACGCTCCGGTTGGTGGTAATTTTACCACCAAAGAGTAACCGTTCACCTTCCGAGTAAATTACGGGAATGCCCCCGCATTTACCCTCTATATATAGCCGTTTACCCTCATCATTTTATACATTTACAAAACTTTTCAAGAGAGACAACTTTGAGAGAGCAGAAGTCATCCGTTTGAGTCAAGCACAAGCAAGAAAACTCGTTCTTCGTCAACCCAGCCGGACCCGTCTATCTTCATATATCAAATCTAAAGGTACCGTCTCTGCCTCTCTCAGCTCTTTTTCTTGTTTCACCGTTTGTATATATTTCTTGCAATAAATGGATGCATCACCAACACACACGGCACAACCTAGGTTAGAATCCAGCCGGTCACCGGGGACGGCTGAGTCTAGGACTGGGAGTGCCGTCTCGGGGTGTTGGGACCACCCTTTAGCTTGGATTCCAACCATTTATGTGTCTGTGCAGGACACAATGGCTCGGACTATGCAGACGGCTGTCGATCCGAATTACCGAAGCGAGGGCTCAGGCGGCCAAACGCCTGAGGGAGATGCGTCTTGTCAGAGAACCCAGACGGCTCTGGAGAGATCCCCTCCGCGTGCCCCTTCGACTCCCGCATATTCCTTTTTGGAAGAATGCGACCAGGACGGCGGCGAAGCCGTCACAGCTCCTTTACCACAAACTGAGTGGGAGACGGAGAGTGACAGCTCCGCCTCCACTTCTGAGAGCAGTGATGATTTGCCACCGCTTGAGGATAGCGAGGAGGAGGAGAGGAAGAAGTGGAGTGAGAAGGACGACCCCTTCAAAATTCACGTCTCTGCCAAGGACAGGAGTCAAATGGAGGACAACTTGAAAAGGTTTAAACAAATTCACCCGTTAGGATACGGGTACAAAATCCAAGTGCCGCCTGAGGACGGCACCATCGCCTGGGAAGACGATCAACAGAACGCCAACAGCTACTTCAGCTGTTATGAGGTGGCGTTCAAGGCCGGTCTTCGCTTCCCCCTTCACCAGGCGGTGAAGGAAATCTTGAGAGGCTACGGCCTCGGAGTCTGGCAACTTCCCCCAATTCTTGGGCAAACATCTTGGGGTACGTTGCCGCTTGTGAACTCTAGGGGCTCCATCCCGGCTGGGAAGCTTTTGCTAAGATGCATTATCTTAGCCGAAGCCCAGGCGGTTGGAGGGCGTGGTACACTTTAACCACGTATCCCCAATACATGATGACCTTGGACAAGGTCTCAAAATTTGAAGGCTAGAAGCACAGGTTCTACTTGTTGTTGGCTCCCAGCAAGCGGGAAAACTACGAGTTCTGCCAATTCAATAAGAAGCCCGACCTGATGGGCCGGAAGTGCGCTCTTCCCCAGATCCCTGATGAGGACTTCGACAAAATAATTGAGGCAGACTTTTCGGCCTCACAGACGCAACCTTGTCAATCGGGGAGACAATAAAATTCCCAAAGAACAGGATCCCTAAGAGCGCCTAGTTCAGGGACGAGTGCTTCTTAGCCACCTGCGGGCTAGGAAACATGTTTACCAAACGTATGCGCCTAAGTTCACATCCGCCTATAGTACTTTTGTATCAGAATTGATTGATGATATATTGACCAATATTTTTCTTTTTTTGCAGAAGAAGCTTTAAGCATGTTGCAGACGGAGAAGACACCTAAACGGTCCTCTGCAACCATCCGCAAAGAGCTTGCGGAAAAAAAGGCGGCCGTAGTCACGGCCAAGGTAAAGAACGCTTGACTCTTTCTTAGGTTGGCCTCAAAGTTTACTTTCTCCAGATGCTATCTTTAACTTGGTTTTTTTCACAGGGGGGAGAGGTAGGAAAGACGTTTGAGAAAGATCTCACACGGGCCAGGGGAGGAATCCGCCTCCACCCCTAACAAGATCAAAAAGTCAGCCTCCGCCCTAACTCCTGGCGCCTCAGCCGGGAACCAAAAGATGCGGATAGGGGGCGAAACGAGAGGATATGCGGCAGTCTGTGCCTCGACCTCGTCAACCCCTTATCAGCAACCGGGGGGTTCACCACGCCTGCAAGCGGCTCCCGCTTGGTCGGCTCTGAAGGTAAGAACCCATTTGAATCCCCGCCTGAGCTGGGGTGGCCTTTGCGAGTGAAATCCCACCCCCAGCAGACGTCATCCTCAGACGGTCGGCAACAGATAGGTGCTGCCTTAATTTCGCACTCATCACCTATTGATCATGGTGCAGATCAATCTCCCCGCTGACTAGACGTCCAGAAGCATGCTAAAGCCATGCTGGAGGCGGAGAGCAGGAAGGACAAGAATGCTATCCCTGGGATAGACACGTTCAACTTGGAGCGAATCTTGTCCCTTCTGGCTGAGGTAAGATACTTAACAATTTTTTTCAAGTGCTTTACTCCGCCTACAATATTAATTTGATTTGTTTTTGCAGGCTTTGTTGCGGGTAGACGGGCTCAAGCGTCCTTATTCCCGCAAACGGGAAGAGGTAAAAAGGGCCAAGAAGTTCGCCACAGACGCTGATAATGTTGCTTTATACTCCACTATCGTAAATGAACTTGAAACTAAAGCAATCACAATGACACAGGCGTCGAAAATCCAGCAGCTGGAGGCGGATCTGAAGACGGCCAACCTGCGGGTGAGCGACGCTGAGCCGGCCCAGAAGAAGGCGGAGGAGGCCCAGAAAAAGGCAGATGAGGGCCTCAAGAAGGCTGAAGAGGCGCTCAAAAAGGCCTAGGCGGAACTTGGCACACTCCAAGGTGTTTCTGAAGAGAACACCAACTTGAAGACCAAGGTTGAGAAGTTGGAGAAGGAGGCTGCCCAAGCTTAGATAAACTTTGCAGCAACTTTGGAGGAGGAGCAAAACCGCCTAGTTGCTGAAAGTGATGCTGACAACGACACCCGCATGAAGATCGCCTGGGCCGCCTTGTACCCAGACAAGGATTATGGCATCTGGGCACTGGCTTACAGGTACGCCGAGGACGTGGTGTACTTGAGAGAGAAAGGTGAGCCAGAGCCTGAGTCCTTCGGCGCCTAGGCTAACGCCAATACTAAGCTTCCCGCGCCTGAGCTACCCGGTCCTGGTGAAGCGCAAGAGATTCCCTCGGATGATGAGGAAGAGGACCAGGTGGAGCCGCCTGCAGTCCAGAAGTGATTTTTCAGCGGCAGTATGCCAACTTTTTTATTTTATTTTAGCTTTGATTTTCTGGCCTGCGTGCCGAGTATCCTTGTATTTACCGGTTGAGGAGCCGGGTTAATCAACAATTTCTCTTTTCTTCCGGACGGGGTCCGGTTAATATTTGATCCGCTACAACCGTTTGGTTGGGTGGACTTTTAATGAATGCACCAACTGAGCCGGTTTTAATCAATTTTGGATTTTAATTTTTGCATTTTTGCGTATATGCCTGATTTTTGCCTAACTTATCAAAAGCATG